CTTAGGCCAGAACAGCCAATTCAGTGACCTAAAATTAAGGAAAGGCAAAAGCAAGTATCATGTATAAAATAGTTTATTACCATAATAAATAAAACTTTTTTTTACAAATATCATTTGTGCTTGTTTAAAAATGTTGAGAAGGGAATATCATCAATGGAGGGGCCTGCACGTTCCTCTTAACATTCCCAAGCCACAGATATACAGTGGTGTTCTTGGCAGCATCCTCAGCTGACCACAAAAATAGTATCAGCTCATTTACACTTTTGTTTATTCATGCTCATTTGGACAAAGTGACAGATGCAAAGGAAAAAGAAAAACCCAATAAGGGATTTGGCAGGACTCAATGGAAAGCGTATTAATATAAGGAGAAGCCCCAGAATGGTGAACTGCTCATGAGTAGAAGTGTCCTTGAGGTGCCGGCGAAACGTCGGATGTGGACAGTCTCCAACTGATGCACAAATACAGCATCGGAATATAAAGAGAATACATTCATTAGGGGAGGGTGCATCCTTCTTAACGTAAGATCAGTTTATATCCTGATACGAGATCTGTGAACTTCTCATTGAACAACTAATGGATCCATCGGGTGACTCAGAAGCCAGATAAAGAGACAAGGGCTGTAAGAAAAGTTTAATGGCAGGCAGGGAGGGCACCCACCGCTCTGGCACCTGCAGGGAATTCAAGTCCAGTTCTAGAGGTTCCAGAATAAGTCTGATATGCTCACATGAGAATGAAGTTTCACTTGAATTTAAGCTGCAGATAAATTCACATTGATTCTTTTGAGCTGTAGGGGGTAGAAATTAAAACTTCTCAACATGAACACCTTTGGTGAGAAAATGGTTTTTTCTCTGATGTTTGCAGTCAGTGCTGAGAGGATCATGAAGTCTCCTCCAGATGGAGGGCACAGGAGCTGGTGAAGGTAGTCTTAATTGAAGCGAGTGAGAAGGCAGTATATAGAGCAATAACAATGATTTAGCAACAGAGGGAGGCTGTCTGGGGCATCAAGTGTGCCCTCAATGGCCTCCTCTTTAAGCAACACTAGGTGATAAGGGAGGAGAGAGGAAGGGGCGTTGGCAGCTCTATCACAGCTGGAGTTCCATTCAAGGGTCTTAAGGCTAAACGTCTTTATTGCAAGACATAGTACAATCTATTATTAATCAAATGCACATCAGCAACGTGTATCTATCATCTCCACCAGGGCTCCTAAAATTTCCCAGAGTATGCATGTGAGACAGAGTGGTCAGTGCAACAAGGGAAAATGAGGATCTTTCTATACCTAGTATTCCTAGAGTCCCCACAAGGGCTCAGACAAAGAGCTTGACAGTTGGTATAATACCTTCCATCTAAGGATTTGGAGAGGAAGTTTGCTGAATGGGATGGGGTGGTGTAGTACAATTTTACCCCTGCTCAGCCCTCCCCACTTCTGAAAGAGGAGGATTCCAGCAAAAGGGCTGATGTTTGGCCAACAGCAGCACACTGGATCAAAGAGGTTGAGGGTAAAACAGGCCCCCAGGGATTGGATAACAAGAAGAAATCAAGTAAGAAATGTATTTCCAAAAGTTTGCTGGAAGGCTGCGAAATGGGCTCAGTTTTTTAAATACTTGGGCTATCCTGTAGCATTAATGTTGTAACCTTGTTAGCATAATGTAGCATTGCATTAATTAATGCAATGAGTTGCATTAATTGTACACTAGATAATTTGGTTTTTCAACCAAATGGTCCCCTCTGTTTCTGTCCTTTGGCTATCTTGTCATGTCCAGTGGAGGAGCCCTTTGTAAGTATATGGGATGGCAGTGCCCATTGCTGGAGTCAGTGCCCCCCCACCAAGAACAAACACCACCTCACTGACCATCTCAGTTCTCAGGGTTAACCCTAAACCCACCCCCTCCATCAGCCGGGAGGAGCATGTTCAACCAGCAGCCAAGTGACAGGGACAAGACCTCCCCACTTCAAAGCAGCCTGTCAGGATATTCTCTGGGAAATGGAGCTTCAGTATGAATGACATTCAAAGCAAAGAATTTAGTAGAAATCAAATAGCACTTACTAGACAATGGTGCCACATATCATGCCCCCACTCCTCAAAAAGGAAAAACATATATCCTGGGCAAATCTGTTCTCTTGGCATACTTTTTCTGAAGTCTAAATGTTCTGTCCCATACCTAGTAACTTTTTGTTTCCCTAATCTCTCTCCAGCCACCAGATAATGGTTTATACTGGAAGGCTCAGGTCAGTGGTGTCTGAGGCACATGGTCCTGGCTCGGGAACCCAGAGTGGCATCCTGGCATGGGAAGGCAGCACAAAGCAGCCTGCGGCCAAGTTCATGGCGTGAAAAGGAAGGGAGAAAGGTTTGGCTCATTTACACAATGTTTTTTCAGAGAAAACAATTACAGCAAAAAATCCCTCAAATCCTAGGGAGGATTACGGGAGAATAAAGCCCATGCACCCACACGTGCACCTGTGACCCCAAGAGGAACAGATTCCTGCTGCAGGAGCTGGCTTCCAGTCATGAGCCCAGTTTGCACTGATTCAGGAGTGCATTTCCAAAGCTACATTCCACCCTAAAACATGTCTGGACTTCAAAGCCTTACATCATCTTTGCCCCTCATACCCAGAGGTCTGAGAGATTTCATGGACATCCATCTCCCTCCGGCAGAGCTGGAGGGAAGTGGCAGGGCCTCCTGACATTGGCTATGGAGTGCTGGACAAGAAGCCTGTCATCAAGTCCCTGGAGAGCTGGGAGGCAACAGAAAGTCTCCAGGGGCAGGTGCTTCTGAGGCTGGGTTTTGGGGGTGGATTAGAGGCCTACCCTGCCTTAAAAGTGGTGGCTCCTAAACTTCAGAAGCAGATTGAGGAGCATGTTTAAGAAATGGCAGACTAGAATGTTAGGGGGCAGCCAACAGATGGGATGCCAGATATTTTACGGGCTCTTACCCAAGGACTGGTTGGCAGCTTCTCAAGTGAAAGAGGCTGAAGGCCTCATAGCTTTATTCAAAGTCAGACAGTTGTGACTCGGCCTTAGGAAATTAGAATTCCTCTTCTTTGCATGCTGCCACCTGAGGCTAAATCTAATTATGTCACAGCCTGGAGAAGCCAGGGGCAGCCCCTGTAAGCCTCATGTGAGAAGCTACATATGAGGTTAGGGCTCCTGGAGCAGGACTCTCCCTTGAGCTCGCAGGCCCTGGCTTCCCAGGGCCATCTGTGCCAACCCTGTGAACCAGGAGAGGTCAGCCCTGCCTTGCACAGACAACCGAGGGCCCAGCCCTGGGACTCACCGTGAGCACTGGGCAGGACTAAGGAGGCGAGGCGGGGTGGGGTGGTGGGTAGGCTCGGACCAGAGGCTCTCAGAAACACTGAGTATCTTTGGTAGGGCAGAGGTACCAGGGATAGGGTCACCATCTAACATAGGCAAAGGTAAGCTCCCTGGATAAGTCCATGCTGTCACCTGTACTCCTAATTCCATTCCCTCCAAGCTGACTCTTCAGAGCTTTTTTTTTTTTTTTTTTTTTTTTTTTGAGACGGAGTCTCGCTCTATCGCCCAGGCTGGAGTGCTGTGGCCGGATCTCAGCAGAGCTGAACTTCTAACCTTGCTTGTCAGTATTTGGGGTCCTGACACCTCTCTCTAGGGCATGTGCCCTGGCCAGCTCCACTGTGCCTGGAAGAGACTTCTCCCCTTTCCTTTCTCAGATGCCATTGAGAGAAGCCCAAGCACATGAATAACCTGACTTAGGTGACCACGAGGCAGTGGACTGTCCCCAAGCATCGTGGCATAAGGGCTCGGATGGCCCATATGCAGCCCTGTGACCATCACTGGGAGCCACGGCTCCAAGGCCACTTTTCTCCATCACCTTACAGAGATAGCTGGAAACTCACTGCTTCGTTCTCTTTCCAGCTCCTGAAGAGAGTACAATCATGATCCTGAAATCTTTTGCCATTTTCTCTTGAAATCCTACTGACTTTAGTAGGAAATAGAGAGACTGGCTTTAAAATAAGGCCCAGCATGGCTCCCAAGTGCCTATAATGACCCCGTGCGGCGAACAAAATACAAAGGTCTGCAGGGCAATCCCAATGAGAATCAAAGTATAAACATAGCACTTGCTACAGTTCTGAGGTTGTGTGTGTCTGCTTTGTTAATAAAGCAACTCTGGGCTCATGACCCTTCCTGCCGATGCTCCATACCCTGAGGAATGCCACGGGGACACTTGGGAAGAGGCCAAGAAGGAACAGAGGCAAGGGAGCCTGTGTGTGAGGCCAGCGGCATGGAGCATGGCCAGAGGCTCCGCTGGGGACTCCAGAGCCCTCCCTGCCAACTGTCCCAGAGGAGCAGGCTGTGGGCCGCACCGCAGAGAACCCCTGGATCCTAAGGACCCCTCTCCAGCTCTTACCCTTGCCTCACCACCTTTGGGAAAGGAGACCTGAGGATTCCCAGCTCCAATGTCTACGGGCGGCATGCACCACACCTGCAGCTGCTTTTCTGGCCTTAACCATGAGACAGAAAGTTTCCGGGCTCTACCCTCCTGTCCCTCAAGCTCCGCTTGTCCCGAGCTAGTTACAAATGACAACTACAGGAGAACATGGTGATGTCAGACACAGGCTGTACAAGGACGGGGATGCCGGGAAGTCCCTGGCCCACCACAGTCCGTTGGGGGTCTTGGCAAAGGAGCCCAGCATGGTATATACATGAGAGGTTCTCGGCACTTTCCCACCAGTCCCCAGATGGCTGCTGCTCTGTTCTGGTAGTTTCTCTTTTACAAATATCATGGTAGTAAAAAATTAAAAATGAAGGAAAATACCCTTTAGACAGCATGTCCCTTCTTTCAAAATTGTGCAAAGATGGTTCAGATGCAGCTGCCACCTTGCAGGGTAGGGGCACGCTACCTTTCCCGTATCTTTTTCCAGATAGAGAAAGAGCGCGTCTAAGCCACTGGCCCCACTTTTTCTGTCAGGAAAAGCCTACTTGAAAATTGTTGGTCATGTGGACGTGTGTGGTAGGGATGGTGGTCACGGCAAGGTTGTAGGTGTCTGTCTCTGACTTTTCTTTTAATAGACCTCTCAGCTGGCTCCAAAAATGTCTCTCTCTGATTCTGGGGACTGTGGCCTCGATATTTCAAACAGCTCCTGAGGAGACTGAGAGGATCTTCTGGAAGTTAATATCCTGAGTATCTCAGAGAGCTGTTTCTCAATATTGGTCATTTTGGCGTTTAAGGCCTTGATGTCCTCCTTCAGCTCGTGCCTCACCTCCAGGACTGTGGCCTGCAGCGTCTGCTCAGGGATGGGGTAGAAAGAATGCTTGACCTCTGCCAGGATGGGACTCCGATCCTGGGGACTCCTGGCCTCACCCACGTTGTCCAGCCGCAAGTCGCTCTTGGTGATGCCACTGTCACACGAGTCTGTCTTCTTCAGCGTGGCCTCGCCTGATGCTTTTGTCCTCTCGGGAAGTGTCTCCATCGACTCAGCCTTGGACACCTTGTTCCATTCCTCACCCTTCCCGCAAGCATCTTTGAAGCGGGCCCAGCCTTTGCGCTTGGCACAATCGCCCCCGCCCGCCTTGGGGCCCAGGCACTCGGACCCGGGTGCATGTAGCTTTGCGTGGTCTGGAACCCCGGAGGTGGAGGCTGCCTGGAAGGACACGGGCGTGGCAGGACTCTCACGTACGGTGACCACGCTGGCCTTCATGAGGCTGTGGTTGGCGGAGGCATGCTCTGTGAGGACATTGCCCTTCTCCACATCTAGGTCATCCAGGTCCCGGCCCCCTCTCTCAGCCGCCAGCCTGGCCTCTTTCTGCTGTCGGAATCTCTGGAAGAGGCGCCGGACAGGGTGGTCTGGGGGCAAGATCAGGGGGGCCTCATTCTTTCGTTTCATGCGCTCTTCCTCTTCACGTTTCACGTCGCTGATCTTCCGGAACACAATCTGGAGAGAGAGAGAGAACGACATGCCATGTTAGCCACATGCTGGCTGCAGCAGCCCAGCTCAGCCCCTCTGCCTATCATGGCCCTCTCCTTCCAGTCCACCTGCTGCCAAGAGGCTGGGGCTCACAGCCTGCAAGGCCTCACAAGGCTTTTCTCTATGACTGACCTCACCCTCCTTTTATTGACACTGACTCCCAGCTTTCCAACAGCAGGTAATTGACTCCCTTTGTCATTCCCTTCAAGAGGAACAGATCCCATTTTTTTCCCTCCCCACATGCCAGGAGGCTGAAGAATCCAAAGAGCATCTTCCCAGGAAACTGTCCTAGCCTCCCTTAAATCCATCCTTGTCTGCAATTCAGCATCATCTCATGAGCCTTTCAAATATCATTTTTCTGGCCCCACTTCAGACCTACTCCATTAGTATCTCTGCACAAAAGCTGGAGCATCTCTGGTCTAAACCATACTTCAGGGCAAGAAAGTCCCCTGGCAAGGCTACAGCTAAGGTTTCCAAGGCCACCCACAGATCTGGACCCTAAGTGAATGTGGTTGGCTGTGAAAAGTAAAAGCCAGTCTCACACGGAAGTCCTCCTTGTCCTTGGTGAGCTTACAGTAGACTAACATCTATAAAGTTGAACATAAACTTGTCCTAACAATAATACCCACACTTGGACAGTGATTTGCAGGTCACAAGGCACTTTAATGTTACTTCATGTATTCCTTTTGACAGCACTGTGAAGTCACTGGAACACCTGTTATTATCCCCATTTCAGACATAAGGAAACCGCAGCTCAGAGTGGCTAAATATCACCTAACAGGTAAGTTGCCTAGAAGGGACTTGTACCCAAGGTATCAAACCCCAGATCCATTAGGTGGCCAGCAGGTAATGACTAATGATAACAATACTTCATGCAGAGGATGGACCATCAGCAAAACAGACTCATGAATTTGGCCCTGAGTGCAGCATAAGCCACAGCTTACAGGGGCCTTCCCCTGCGTCAGCATCTGACTATGGGAAAGCCCCATAATTTCTAGCTTATATTGCATGTGCCAGTTAGACTCTGGGACATGTTTTGATCCATATCATGTTTGAATTTGTGAGATGCAACCTGTAATAGGTTGTCTTTTTAGTGTAAATTTCTGATTTGAGGACTACAGGTATTGAGATTGTGTAGAAGTAGAGGAGAGGCCTGTGGTAAGGGAGAACAGCAGCTTTTTCATCATCCCAATCTGGGAAACTTTGTGCCCTGGGCAGGCAACTTAGACCCACCCAGAACCTGTCCCAGGGACTTGCCACAGGACCGCCGGTCTTGGGGAGGCACACATGGTGTCATGCCAGGAACAGGGGTTTGGGGTCAGAAAGAACTAAGTGTAAGTCCCAGCCCCATTACTTAACCGTGTAACCTCACACAGGTATCTTAACTTCTGAGTCTCAGCTTCCTCCTTAAAAAGTGAGGAAAATCTCTACTTTTCAGACTTGGTATAAAGCTGATACAGCATGACTTATATGAAATCACTGGCCCACTGGAGATGCTTAAATGGCTCCTGTTGTCCTCGCCCTTTCAAGGCCCCCAGCTGAAGATGACACGCAACTTGCCCTACCTCCTCCAAGAGGCCCTGCCCTGTGCTGTCACCAGTAGGTTCTCAGGTATGACCAACAAGACGATTGTTTTATAGTGCCCAACACAGAGAAGCCAAATAAACAGTTAATTGTTTGATGCTAGGAATCCATCAGCAAATCACTGGCAGACTAGAGGCCCACGTCTGTGCACTAACTTCTTGGTCAAAGTTTCTGTCACTAGATGACTTTACACTGAGGTCACTAACAGGTGGATGGGTGGTTAAATCTTCCAGCTAGTATCTGGATTCTGATATGTGACTTTCTGACCTCCACTGGGCAGCATTTCTCCCATCCCTGCCTCCTCTGGTCCCCTCTTTAGCCGTACCCCAACTGCCCCTACAGTCTGGCTTGCAGATCCAAGAAGTGGGACTCGGGAGAATCCTGTCCACCCTGAAGAGGGACAGAGAAACCCAATAAAGGCCTCATGGGGGGATGGGGAAGTGATAAGTAGAGTGATTGGGACCCTTTTCTCTCTGTGCTCTGAGTTGGATGCCTCTATACGCGCTGTACTCTGTTCTGGGAATGGCCTCTGCTCTCCATTGGGCATCCAAATCCTCTTCATACCAAGACCCAGCGCAAAATGCACCTCCTCCTTCAATCCAGCGATTGAAATCGCTGATTTCAATGTGCTGTAAGTTATCCTCCTACCTCCCAACTCCAATGGCCCTTTCTACAGTTTGACTGCTCTTCTGTCCTGATTACTCTCTATCTTGTATCCATTTGTAGTAGAGAGGCCAACTCTCTTCTGCCTACTCACATGCCTTCTTAGAGAGGGGAGGAGAGAGAAGAGAATAGGAAGGAAGGTGGAATGGAGGGAAGGAATGCAGAAAAGAGGAAGGAGAAAGTGGGTGAGAACGTGAATGTACCCAAGAGAGATGATGGCTTTTAGAGCTCATTGCTCTTTTCCTGCCCTTTATATCTGCAGGATATCTGATTCCTAACACTATCCCCCTTTTTCACTTGAGCAAGTTTGGGCAGGTCTATTCCTTGTAAGCAACAATTCCTCAACACAAACATATCCTATCCCGCTAAAAGGTCCCTGAGGGCTCAGAACAGTACTTTGGAGGTCACATTGTATTTTTTACTTTTTAAATGTTTGCTTATTATTTGCCCTGAAAGAGCAATGATTTTCCGTTTTGTTTCCAATTTCCAGCTGTTCAAAGTGCCTGGTACCTAGCAGGCCCTCAATAAATATTTGTGCAATGTAGAACACATAAATATTGGCTAATGAATCCGTGGGATAATATCTTCTTCCTGGAAAGATGAAATCACAGAGGTCATAGTCAATGTTATAAAAAGCAGAGTTTGGCCTGGACACACATCTCTCAACATCAAAGGTCAGGGGCAGCCTCTGAGACTTGAGATGTTCTAAGACTAATGAAAAGGAAGTTCTTCAGATATTGAGGAGTCAACAAAAAACTGATCCCAAGAGGCTTAACATAATTCACGGTGGACATTTCGGAGGGGAAGTGGGAGTTCCTCTTTGAGGGTGTGGCTACATTGTGCTTGTCCCCCAGAGGCCCCATGGGTCAGAATCCTGGACTGAGCCAGCCAGCATATTCAGGTGTTATGACTGTGTGGTCGATGTGGGCAGTTCAGGCACTCACAGACAGGGCCTGTTGGTGGAATCACGGGTCTCTGGATCTGTGCAGGCTTTTTTTCCAAAGTGTCATCCTAGGCTGCCCTCCATCATCCTGTGTGATAGGCAGCCCCCCCTGAACGTCACTGTCTCAACCAATGGACAGGTGAGCCAGGGAAGAACGTCCTATCCTGCAGAAATGCCTGGTCGTTCCTTTGAGAATCAGGGAGGTAAAACCTGCCACCCCCAGGAGACAAGGCAAAAGGAATTTTTACAGAGCTGATGTGGTCTGACAGCTTTGCTGATCTGGAGTCAAGGGCTCTGCTTACTAACTTCAACTGCTTTTCTGGAGAAGTTAGTCATGGAGTGTGTCTCAGAGGCAGCCATGACCACGCATTTTGCCAAGTATTTTAGATCTGAGTGGGCAGGAGTGGTTGTATGACTCATGACAATGAGGTCTGTGCCACCAGCACCAGCCACAGCAGCTCTCCGTCTGCTTGGAGATGCTCCACAGCTTCCCATGGCAAGAGTGTATCCTGGGAATGATGGGCATGACTCCCAACTCCGTAACCCAGGATGCTCCCTGTACTGGACAGGTGATGGATGGAGGTCTGGGGAACAAGTCTGTCCAAAGTATTCCATGATGCTCTAATAGGTACTATGAGGTGGGAGAAGTTCCAAGGTTAGGTACGTTTGAGCCACACTGCAGTGTTAAATGGGTTGCTTTACTGCAGGACTTCTCAGAGCCTTACCACGCTAATGTGCCTTATGAATGTCTAAGAGGAAGACATTATATGCAGCATTTCTTAAGCCAGTTCCCCCAGATCCTCTCTTTTGAATGAAAGAACCCCTCTGGAAAACACTAAAATTATATCAATGTGTAGGGTATGGGAAGTTCTCTGTATTTGTGTATAGCCCTGACAGATGGGCAGATGTTTCCTGTTCCAGCTAAAGGGGACCCCCTATCTCTAACTCACTCGCTAAGCCCCTGGAATTTGAGATTTGAGGACTCCATTGCAGATGCATTACCCCCTGGTAGACAGGCCAGGGTCAATCCAAACTCTGTGGCTATAGCCATCCTCATTGGTGAAGCCAAAAGAAGTGATGTATATTGCCCTCCCTCCAAAAATCTGCTTCTAATGTTTGTGGTTTAATGGGGAGAGAGAAAAAGAGATCACAGGTAACTTCTCTATGCACCACACATAGGCTCCTGAAGGATGGTGTGAAAATAAAATCCTAAAGGACTTCCATTTTCACTCATCCTCATTGCAGACTGACCTCATACTGATTTCATCATCTCTGCCTGGCTGATTTTATTTTTGAACTCTTACATGAGCTCAGGGAACTGACATTTAAAAGTACCCCTGAGATGAACATTTTTGCAATGAGGACAACTGCTCATTGGCTCTTGCCTTCTTTCTTCACATCACAGATCCTTAGTCAGGGACCACACCAACAGAGAAGTGCTGGGGTCTGTCTGGAGAGTTTGTTCCACTGGAAAAGGCCCAGCCCTGGTGATAGAAAACTACTCTGTTCTTGGCATGGTTTCAAGGCACTGGTAATGGGATAAGTCCAGATCCTTCCTGGATCCAGCCAGAGCCCTGCCAGCCCACAGGGGCATATATTTTTCTAGCCTGACATGTTGCTCAGAATGCTGAGCAGCTCATGACTTATTGCAACCTGGAGACAGAGGACGCCTGGAGGGCAGGGACGCTGCTGTGCCTTGCTCATCGAACTTGGCATCCCTCTAAGCTCGCACCAAGCAACGGCCCTAAGTCTGGGAAGACTTAAATGGTTGTTGAGC